AAATCTCATAGCTGTACTTATAGTATGAAATACAACGTGTAAAAGGGTCAGTAATTGTGCTTCTTCCTGTGGTGTTCTCTTTATTATATCATTACATGGTTCTATATTCTCTGACCTTTGTGTGCCTAATTGACCTTCCAAAGACACTAAAACGGACATCACATATACGAATCCTCCCACTTTTCGAAAAACAGTTCTAGTTCGATGAGATTCTCGTAAACAAGCCAATAAAGACTAAAAAATCAAGATATTGTTTAGTAATACTCAAAAGTATAAAAACTGATAATTAGGGGTGTGAGAGAACCCGAAAATATCGGGAACCCGATGGTTGGGACGAGTCGGGTCAGATCGGGTTCCCGAAAATTTCGAGAACCCGGCTACCGTTTCTCGAACTACTCTGCAGTGCTGTATAGTAGCCTACAAAATATATAAATACACAGTTCAATTTCTTCTGCCAGTGAAGTTATTGGAAACACGGATTCTAAGAATCGTGTGATCTGATGTATACAAACGCGTGACTGCGTGTTTAGTACTTGGACATTATGTACGCTGTTGAGCAGTATCGCTGGGAAATTCGGGAAGTTCAGACGTATATTTCAAAATCTGTGTGAATTTAATGAAGATTAAAAATCTTTAAAAAAAATGTCGAGTAATAATGAGAGTAAAGTTGTGATAGCAGGAAGTAGTGCAGAAGATATCGTGCAAAGGAAGAAGGTAAGAAGCTCTGTTTGAGAACATTTTCAAAAAAAAGATGATACAAAGGCGGAATGCACGCATTGTCACCTGTTTAAAATTAAGTATGCAAATACTACTGGTTTATTACACCATTTAAAGCATATGCATTCAAACATTAGTATATGTAGCATGTGCACGACTCGATATTTCGGGTTCTCGCACATCTCTACTGATAATAATATCAATTAAACTAACTTTCAATATATGTGTCTTTAAGACTAAGGCATTAGAAGGTGCTGAATGCATAACACCTAGTAATGTAGCCATATCGTCATCTCCTCCTGCACTAAGTATTAATTCTCTAACAATACCAAGTGCTTGATATCGACAATCCATATAGGGCACGAGATTATGAGCACAACGTGCTCCACCACATTCCCTAAAAACATTAGCATTCTGAACATTGCTTGCCAACAATGTTGTCAAAGCTTCCATTACTAAGGCACCCAATCGCTCATCTTCTGGGCAAATTTTATATTCTAAAAAAAACAAACAATTTTTATCAATTTAGTGAATTAAATATATTGAAAATAAAGTATGAAAATATTAATTACCTAATCCTTGATCTTGTGCAGCTTGCTTATCTTTGAGTAAGGTTGCATAACGATGAAGACATGTAACAAAAACTTCTAACATACCCACTTCTCTGTATACATCTTTAAATATATTATTATGTCTAGAAAGATACATTTTCGAGGATCAATATAAAGTATGTATAATCGAAGTATAATTAAAAAGCACTATACCTGAGTATATTAAGGAGTGTCTCCATGCATAATATACTGCAACTGGTTGAGTTATTTGTTTTCAGTAGTATAGATAAAGATATAAGTTCCTTACAAGGCACAAAATTAAGTTGAAATACTATAAACTCTAATAGCTGAAAGAATTTTTCTTGTATTTCTCGATTTTTTAAATGAATTTTTTCTGCAAATTGAGATAATGTATTTTGCCCTTCAAGTATAAAATAATTAGCGTTGTCACTATGATATACACTAGATATTGCATCAAGAATTGTACAACACAAGAGTGGGGAATTAGACTTTACAAATACAGACTGTAATACTTGGAATGCTTGAATATTTCTAACACTTCCACCTGTAAAATATATTTTATTCTTAATTATGTTCTGTTAAACGACACTAAGATAATTAAATATACTTCTATCAACGACAATAGGATAATATATATATACCTCTATTACTCGGTTGAGGTAAAGTAAAACCAAGCATTTGGAACAGAGATCCCATACTAGCTTGACTTGGTTTTAATTCCGTATGGCCACACATTGTTAGAGACGCCAACATAAGTACTAAATTCCGAATGGCATCTTGTGCCTCTGCTCTAGTATCTTGTTCTAATCTTGATGGAGCATGTCTATGGGTTATAATTAATAATGTTGTAAATATTAATTTTATTAATTATAATATTAAATACTATACGAATACGATTAATTTATATAACTAATATTATTAAAATAAAATTCTTACTTTAATAAAAATTCCGATAAAAAGATATATCCTTGACAAGCACGAAAATCGTCCAAAAGTGTTTGGGATACCTCACTAGAATCTTTTAAGAAACAAAATACTGTAACAAACATTTCTACCACTTCCAATGGTGCCAGCTCAGGTACACGTTGCATATTATCAACACATAATGCTATACATCCTTTATCTAATTAAAAACAACAATATTGTTTGACAAATTTAAAAAACTTGTTAGATTCGCAATTAAATCGTAACTTATACTTACTGTGGATGTAGCTTACTACATTTTGGGTAAGTCCATGTCGAGACAAAGTCATTAATACTTCTGCTGCGCTTTTACGCCACATTACATTATAATGAGGACACCAGCTAGTTATTGCTGAGAATAATAAAGTTAAATCATCTTTACGAGCAAGTTCTTCTGCTGGATACGGATGGCTACATAATCTCACCAATAACTGTAAATTATACATTAGATAAATTGTCTAAATAAAGATAAAAGTCGAGGTAATAAAAATGAAAAATATTTACTTGTACAAATATTTTTTGTAACAATATTCGACGCTGTTTCGGAGTAAATTCGCTACTTGCATCCGTAATATCGGCTTCGTCGTCAATCATTTCAGGCAGATCGAAAAATAGATACAAACATTTTACTAATGTTGATGGAACAGAAGCAGTAGTCATTGCCTAGTAAAATATAAGTTTATCAACACATACAGTTTATGTTAATTATAATAGTGAAGTGTAATTGAATTATATACCTGTATTACAGAACTATCACCTGCTGCAAGCAAATTTAATGCAGATAGTAACATCCAACCATTACTTGATTCTTCACTATTTTCAATTTCTAAAAATTTTACAATGGCACAACTTGCAGTTTCAGTACTCTGATTGCTTGCCCTTCTACTGATTTCAAATACCATTAACTTAGATACTTGTTGTGTAAATGCCAAAATGTCCCAAAATTTTTCACTCATATCTCCTGTTGGACTAGATCCAAATACCTAAACATTAATTAAAATTAAAATTATTAATTTAGCTATAAAAAAGGAAAAATTTAATTGAAGTATTCATATGATGTGGATACTTACTTTGCAAAATAATGGTAACATGTTATATAGTTTATCATTACGTTCAGCCTCAGAAAGGGGATGTGGAGGATGGGTGTATTCAGAAAATAGTTTTTTAAGATGCATAAGACCTAAAGCAGTATGTTGAGAATTTGTACTTCCAGTACAATCATCTAAACCACCAGCACTGCTAGAACCCATGCCTCCAACATTAGTACCCCCTCGTAGTTTACGCATTATGTTCATACTTAATATTTGCTAAAAGGACACAAACAACATGTATGCAAATTAGAACATCAAAATTTGATATTAATTTTAAAAGACATATGTCACTAGTATTATTTTAACTTACATCATTTATATTCTGATGAATATTAAATACATTTTTTGAAATATCTCTATATATTAAAGTTTAAATGAAATCTACATTTTTAACACACTGATAAAAATGTTTTTAGCACATGGTGAGAATATATAAATAACAAAATATTTTGCAATATGATAGAAATAATGGAGTTAGAGTACATTATTGGATCTGATTCCTTGAAACAATTTGTAATGAACTGTAACATTATAAAGTGAATATATGTATCTTTATATGTTATATGCTATTTATGAAGTACACAATTACAATCGTGCATTAATTGTTATGATATTTATCATATTAGTTACATAAATTTTGAATAAAAATAACTAATCACAATTTTTTGAACTGTTACTATATTGCTACAATAAAAATCCGACTGATCGCAGGAAGACGTATAAAGGAATTTTGTACATAATAAACGATAATTGTATGTTGTAATAGTAGTAATATTAAAAATTATAAGACGTTAAGTTTGATACTATTGAATGCAAATTATTGAAAGCAAATATCGTCTAAAAATAGTAAATGAATTTTTCAATAGAAAGATCAATAATTTATAAATGATGATGTATGGTAATACAATCGGTTTAAGTGCTTATCATACTGTTATTCGAAACGTTAACATATCGAAGAACATATAACATGTGAAAATGGCACATTGTTGTGTAAGATAAAATGAAACTCCATTTTTTTGCTTATTATACATATGAAACAATCTTTCGTGTAGGTGTCATAACAATTTTTGCACTTTCAATGTCTGACACTACTCTTTATCGAACGCTCAGTTCAATATTTACGTCTATCTCCTGTCAAAATGTCAAGTTACAGTGAAGTTATACCGACTCTTCGTAACCGCCCACGATTCTTACAAATAATATTCAGATATCATCCTGCAGGCATGCACCGTACTCATTAACAATTATTCAGTTATTACCTGAAACGCGTCACAAGCCAGAAAATCCTACATTTTCTTTTGGGAAATTGCTTTTTCAGTGAGAGTATTTAATATTTCAGTGGCAGCAGCCATCTTCATATTCGACGATTTCTTCGGTCCACAGCTAACACTATACGTCGATAAGTATCACGTGACTACAAATAATCACAGATCTTTTTGAATCTGTGTTAACCTTATACGTTTATATACAAGAAAAAAATTATTTTCTTTTATTTAATATATTTTACTAAAAAATTAAGAACAAGAAGTATTAACCTTCAAATTTGTTAAATATTAAATTTTTAAATTTATTAAGTTTCCTAAATACGATCTTATATGTTTACATTTAAGTATTTACATATATTAATTATTAGTGAACTCAAATAAAAAAGACAATGTTTGAAAAATTAATTACTTTTTTATTTATTCTCATTATTACATTATATACAAAGTACGTGTATTTAGAAAGTCTTGTGTCAAAATGTAATTGGTTAGAAGAATGTTTCAATTTTAAATATTTTGAAATCTTTAACTTGTTGATGGAAAAAATTCTGAAATTTTTCTTTGTCCAATTTTTTTAGTTGGTGATTTATGTTTATGCGAAGATACAGAGTTTTCACTTAGAATTCCACTTCGAACTGATTCCTGTATACTATCTACAGGTATTATTGATTGACGACTTTCATTTGTAATTGATTCATTACAACCATTATCTACATATTGTGAAATAAGCTCTTGCTTTGGATCTAATAATTCTAAACCAGATAATCGATGTTCTTGAATAGCTTTAACCTGCGTCGTATCTTTCCATAATAATGATTTTCTTTTTTTCTCTGTACTATCTCTATCGTGAACTTGTCCTTCTTTTTTCTTCATACCATCTTTACTTTGAATTTGTTCTTTCTCTATAGCTTTTATAACATCTACATATTCTTCATTTGAAATCTCTGTTTTCTTTTTACTTATATCATCTTCATCAAAAAATTTTTGTATTTTTTCTTCTTCTATTCGTGTATGTTTTTTGATATCAGAATGAAATGATCTTTCCTCTCCATTATTAACACTTTTACTTTTTTTAAATACAACTTCTTTTACCACAGAAAGTTTTGTGTGAATATTTTTACTTAAATGTTGAGTTATTGGTTTCATTTTACTTCGATTATATAAAAAACGATAAAAATCTGAATTTTCTGTTGAAGCAAATTCTTGATATTGCAGCAGTAATGAAAAAATATGAGCTAAAAAATGATATAAATTTGTTTAAATAATTCTATACATTCTAAACATTTAAAAAAATATTCTGACCAATACCTATATTTGTTTCATGTTTTACAAAATGCTTGTGCATTTCAGCAATATCATCTCGCAAATTTGTGTCTCCAAAAGTAAAATAAACCATTGATCGACCTGCTACAGTTGCAGCTATTAACTGTAACAAAACTTTTAGTTTTGGATTTCCACGAAATGCACCGCATCCCCAGTTCCCAGTTGCAATAGCTGGTAAGTTATTTTTACTAGCTTCACAACCAACAAATCCAACATATGCCTATGAAAAATAAGATTATTAAATTTCACACAATTAAACAATTGTGTTTATACATAATTATCAATTTTTAACCTTATTAAGTTCTCTTATTATATTATTTATGTTAAATTGCATTTGCGAATTCTTAAAATAAAGGGCATCAATAGCAACAATTGATGTTAACCGTCTTCCACTACTATCTTTAGGTGTTTCATCAACATAGTCTCCTATCCATTTAAAACTGTTACTATAACCTTTGTATTTACTGTATCTTTCAACACCACTAACAATTAATGCTTCAGTATCATCTAATTCTTCTGTAACAAGCATTGTTACCATTAATTCAGGACAAATTACAAATCTTATCTCTTCTTGCACACATCCTAGACCAAGGACACCACCACCTACATATCTAGAAGGGTGTTAAATTTTTATAATGACAAATATCAATCTAGTATAATATTGACCACAAAAATATAAAATACTTGTTAGCAAAATCCACTTGCAAAAATCCAGTTCCTTCTGCTTCTATAGTTCCTCTACTTGTAATATGTAAAGGTAATAGAGTTTGTACTTGTTCATCCCATTTTGGACAATCAGACTTAGGAATATAACGCCGTTGTATTGTTACTACACCTTCTGGGGCTGCTCTATGGAAAAATTATAATAAATAATGTATTGATTCTCTTGATATTGATATTAAATAAATCTTAACGTACCCACCTTTACACGTTACTCTCCGAAAATAATGAAATATACATTTCATTTTCTCCATTACAGATTCACACTTCCATTTTCCCTCTTTATACGCTGAAAACAACCTATGTAAATGTATATATTAATATATTAAATGTACTATTGAATTAAAATTATAATTATTTTTGCAAGTACTATCATCTATTTTAATCCTAACAAAAGTTGAAACTATATAAGAAAATACCTATTAAAATTGATGTATGGATATCTTCCATATTCAGATTGTGGATCGGTTGAGTTACGTCTTGGAAATGTACAGAAAAATGCATTAGCTAATAAAGAAGCTATTTGTAACTGGCTAAGACTGATTGTGCCATTGGTGTGGCGTTTCAAAAGAGGCACTGAACCAGTTACCAAAACAGGAAGTTGTAAAGCAAGTTGAACCATTTTTGGCATCAAAGTTTCAAAGAAAGTATTTGTTTCTTCTTCATCAAGTACCTTTAGTGTGAAATTATTATATAATTATTATATAATGAAAACATTGAATATATTGAAAAAAGAAAATAATAAAGAGAATGAAGAGAAATATATATGAAAAAACAAAATGAAAAAAAAAGAGAATGCAGAATTTAAGATTCTACCTCAGAAAAAAAATGATGCAATGCAGTAAAATCCCAACGTTGTGCATATATATGATTATAAGAAAGTATTGCACTTTCTAACTGATGAGTTGAAACAAAATTTTGAAGTAATGATTCTTGTATTATTTCCCATCTGTTTCGATTATGTCTGGATCCATTCTGTAATGAGTATTACATTATTTAGAAAGTATAAGATCACATTAAATTTTACATTTATCATCTCTTACTTGCCTCATTCACTAGATACAAATTATGTTTTGAATGTGGCATCCTCACATAATCTTGACACCATTTTTCTACTTGATAAGTAGGATAAGGTTTTGGTGTTCCACGAGCCGGTAATGGTAACTATTTTAAATAATTTTATGTATATTTTAAAATTTATATGTATTAAAGAAAAACATTCATTCAATTTAATTCTTACTGATATTAATACTATATGAGACGAAGATGCACAAATAGGTGGTAACTCCTGACAATCATATACACCTAAACCTTTACGTATTTCATCCATGCTCACACCTTTCCATTCAGGTACATCATCTAAAGGTTCTGGTTCATTAACATCAATAGACATTGAGCTTGCTATATGAAGTAAAATGATCAATTAATTTAAAGAAAAACATATAAAATATTGTATGTATAATAGTACACGCGCAGTTTTAATTTTCCTGAATTTCAAATCTTCAAGATTAAATGTATTTAAATAATATCTTACAATCATCGGAATTTACAGGATTATTTGATACGTTATTTTCATCGTTGAACATATCTGAGGAAGATGTTTCTTCGTCAAATGACAGTTCACGGTCCGACATAATTCTTGAATTGAGAGAATTACAAATAAAATATAGTAATGGTGAGAAATAATAATAAACAATTAACGAAATGAAATACAGTTCTTACGTACAAAGATAAAATAATGTTGTTTATAAACTATATGACGCGTTTCAAAAATAATTTTGAAGTAATAAATTGTCACAGTACTGACAAATTGTTCTGTAATTCTTTAAAACTTTGTTTCAAGAATTTGCAATCATTAAAATCGAAGTTATGCGTATATTGCTTTGGCGCCACAATTCTTCGCGATGACAAACGTATTGCAGGAAAATTAGACATAACGGTACACAAACAGAAAATTATATTTAATAATATCAGCTAATGTTTCTACATATATATAAATTGTATTAAAAGTTACATTTGCACTTTACATCTAATTGTTCTTTACACCTCTATAAAACACTACGTAACATTTCGTAAGTGCTTAAATTGCACGAAACACGAAATGTTATGAATATGAATCGGTCGAACGAATTGTTCCGTTTGGGGAAAATCCATTTTTAATAGGGGAAAAGCATTTGTCTTGAATACTTCGAAACTAAATGATCAAAATAATTACTTTTATGAAACACAAAATATAAATTATTTACATGTATCATTTTTATTAGAAATTGTATATAAACAATTATATAAAAGCAATTATATAAAAAATTAGTTGAGTTGCTTGAGTAGGCATATGAATGTTTTATATTTTATATTTAACATCTTTTATATTTTTTTTATTAGGATACAAGTGAAGAATATAAATAAATATAATGTTAAAATCAATTAATTCTTACTAGAAATACGACTATTAGATAGGACTATTGACTAACTATTAGCATAGACGAGGAGGTATACGAATAGATATTGCATCTTATGAGATTTCTTGTCCCATGCTCTGAAATACCGACGTAGTAAAAAAATATGGAGGGTTACTCCTTTAAACATATTACAAGATTTAACAAGAAATTATAACTATTTATTTTAATTTATGTATAACAAGATCTTTATGAAGACCGTTTGCTTTGGTTGATTCTTAACAACTGAGATTACAATATGTTTCACTATTTTATTTTCTTCTTTCTTTATTTGTAATCAACATCGCCGCTGTTAAACTCGTTTTTAAAAATACGCGCGCTGTCACAATTAGTAGGATTTTAGCGCACTCTACATTTAACAACGATGAATTGGAGAACTACATCAAGTAAAATGTCGTCTATGTTATTAGTACCAAATATTGAAACAGTAGCGCTGTTGTTACAATGTAAAAGGTTTGCATGTCGGGCGGATCGAATAGACGATGTAGAAGTTGAAACTATCATAATTTTTGACGTTCTTACCTGTGAAATACATTGTACAACAAGAGGTGAATATTCTTTATGTTTTTTTTAACCGAAGTAGAAAGTTTCAAGCTAATTCATTGTGTAAATATTATTGCATGATAGATGGACATTCTTCGTTGAATTCAGTACGGAACGTTATAACGTGAATATTAATTATTGTGTCATTTATTTGTATGCAATATTTCCCATTGATTAAATCGCTTACTTTCCATATTTACGAAAATTCATGATTCATGTACATATTTGTTGTGCGACAAAAATTGACCTGAAACTGACGTCATAGAACAGAAATCAATAATCGCAGTAAACCCGGTTGAAGTTCCGTTAATAAGTTTCGCGACACCTGTCAAGGATTTTATAATTTCTGCAATGTAATCAAAACTTACTCACGTAATTTCGAAGTCTTCTATTAATAACATTCTCGTATATTATTCAGGTATTAACAAAGCAGCACAATGATGTCTGATAGAAAAGCAGAACTTGAAAGAAAAAAAGCCAAACTTCAGGCTATAAGAGAGGAAAAGGAAAGACGTAGAAGAGAAAAAGAACAGAAAGATGTAAGAAATTTTTATTTAAATTTAACGTTTTTCATTCTTTTATGTGTTTATTTAAACTTTTGTATTAAAGGTTGAGGAAGCTACTGTACGTGCTGCAGGAGCAGATAAAGATCATCGAAAAGAATTAGATGCTATGCTTTCATCATTGGGTGTAGCACCAGTATCAGGTAAATAATTGTATTTTGATTTTATAGTTGCATTACTTTTGTAGATATTATTTTAAAGTAATTTATTTTATTCACAGATGTTTTATCCAGTTTATCTAGTATGAATTCTTTGACTCCAGAACAAAGTGCTAATGCTACCCCTGATGCTAGTTTACAACCATCGAGTATAAATTCTGCTCAAAGGTATTAGTATTGTAATTAATAGTATTTGGTCTATACGTAATATAAAGATACATGTACATTATTCAATTTCTATTTTTCTTTAATAGTAGCAGTGCTAGGAAAAAGAATCGTGAACTAACAATTGTTTCTGTGGCACATACAAATATTCCACCAAAAGAACCAGTGGTTTATACTAAACAAACGCAAACTATTCAGACATCGCACACATCTCACGACGGTGAGTCACTATATTCAATTTTTAAAATTATTGCACTTTTGTGTTGCTCTTGTGAATATGAAACTATACATAATCATTCAAAATATCTTAATATTTGTATTATATTAATGTCAATTTAATTAATTAGTTAATTATGAATATAAAAAAAGTATGTTGTTTTTAAGAAATGAATTGATTGAACAAATGAAAAATATGTTATTATATATTATTTATTTAATTAATTGCATAAATTGTTAATCCTCTGTATTCTAAAGTTGTTAATTTGATAAGATTTATCCAAATTTGGTATTTCTCTGTAATAAAAATTTAAGAAATATTTTACACAGCTTTTGTTGATTACTTTTGGAAATCTTTTTACTAGCTTTTATAGAGATGTATTTTTATAATTGGTAAGACATTACTAGAATTAGATGCAATTTAATGACAGCATAAAATAAATAGGATCTGAATCGCCTGGTTTCAGTAGAAATTTCAAACTGCTTATGTCATTAATCCGGGATTACTCATCTGGGGGTCTAGGGGCCGGGATGTACCTGCACTAGACCCCCACGTGGGTAATCCCGGGTTAAAAAAAAAACATTAAATTTTAACTTCCTTAATATATTATTAAATATTGAATGTCGTTATAGTTAAATTGAAAAATATTAAATATCTAAATTTCTGAAATTATATTTAAATAAGGATACAAAGGATACAAAGGATTATAAAATTTGACACTTTTTTAATTGTTTAAAAAATGCAATTGCTTTCACATATATCTATATATCGTTGAATATGGTAAAGTGGGTGGTGTATATAAGAATGTATATTTTAAAACATATATGACAATAGGTACCTAGTACTAAATCATCAGATGCAATAATACCCACATATATTGTGTAATGCACAATTAGTCATATCAATGTTATTTGCTTTATTTATGACGAGAATTTTATCGTGATAACAATGAGAATTGTTCCACTTATTTATATTGTGTTTTATGATTAATTCTAACTAATGAGGAAACTTACATATTCTTAAAGTTTGTTCATATTTTAAAATAACATGTTACATACTATTGTAGCACTATTGACATTTACTTTTTTTTTATTTTGTGCATTAGCTTTTGTTGAACTAAGTTTCGAACTATTTTCAGCACTTCTTAAACAAGCAAATCTTTCAGAAAAAATAATTACATTCTTAAATATAAGATTTTTATTTGAACAGTTTTTGAACATATTAATACGTTAAGCGCCAAGCCGGTTTTGTCTTTCTTTTCGTTTAGCCCGCGATTTCCGATTTCACCGATATGCTGGCAGGAGATCTGTGTAAGATTGCGATAAAACTGCATGTATATCTTCAGGTATATTTCTTGTATGTATTTATCGCAATCTGTACTCTGTAGTCTTTTAAAAATAGTTTCTCTTAAGTCAGTTGTCTGTGGTTCGTGTTCCAGTGCAGTTTAAAAAATTTTTCTTTACCCGTAACAGTAACAATGTCAGTAGAAGAAGCGTATGAAAGAGAGTCAAGTGAAATTAATTTTCCTAAAAAACGTCGTAGAGTCGTTCTTTTTTCGTCATCAGAGGATGAGGATGAGGATGAGGATTTTGAAGAATGGCATGATCCGAAAGGTAGTCCAAGAATTATGCCTTTCACCTCATCCATCTGGCTTTAAGATTAAATAAACTTGAATTTCGGAAGAAATTAGCTTGTTAGTCCATCTAACAAATTGTCGGGATGAAGAAATTCCAAGTAGCAGTACTGTAAATATACTTGTAACAAATATTTAGGTACATTCTTTTATGATCTTCAAATTATTTAAAATTTATTAGTAGAAGAACATAATTTTTTAAATTGTATATAGTCAGTCAACAGTGACTAACGTGGTCCGTATAAGAAAAGTATAGTGTTAGTCACTGGTGACTGATATGGCGCTTAACGTGTTAATAAATAAATTCCTTTTCTTTAATATTTTTTTACCATTAATAAGAATAATAACAAAGAAAATTGTGTTTTTCATGTACATTTAATGTTATTGGAGAAATAATAATTGCACCATGTTATGCAAGTATATTATATAAGGGTATTTTAACATTACAATTAAATATAATACGTTTTGATGTTTTTATTTGTAAATTTTTAAATAATTCATAGGGAAACTATTAGTAGAAATGATTAGATAACATCTAACACCAAATTGGGTTATGGAAACAAATATTTTTTTTGGTGATGGAAACTACTTTTCAAAAATATTTCTCACTTCCTGTTCTCTTACCAAACCGCAATTTCAGTTGGTTGTGATTTTCAATTTTTAATTTATCCAATCATATTATATAAATATTTTAATTTATAAATATTTATTTTTAAACTTTGATTATATAAATATTCATACAAATTATCGAAAGTTGGTATTTTTTGGATTACTCCATTTTTTATACCACCTACTTTACTGTAAATTTGTTGAAATGTCAATCTTTGATATTTTTTAAGTATGCCATTTTTCATAAATTTAATTTGTTAAAATAAAATTTTAATATTTATGATAATGATGGTTAATTTATAAAATGAATGAATCTAAATTCAATATAAATATTATATAATATCAATATAAATGATGATAATGTTTGTTGTTAGCTTAGAAAAGTATTCAATATAAAAATATGGGATGTATTACGTGTTACATGCGTGTCCCACTACCTAACTGATTTTGCGGCATTATTAAATATACGCGTATTTGTCTTGCGATACGGTCAAATCAACTGGTGTTGGACATAAGGACTGTCCGCATCTTCTTCTGCGTACACCATCTACTCGTCCTGTTCAACAACAACACCAACTCACTCTTACTCCGCAGGCTACTTTGAGACTGACTGGTGGCGTCCCAGGAAAGGTGGGTCTGCACCAAACTACCTATGTATGTTCTGTCTTCTTTTTATTACCTTTCCTATAATTGTTGTACAACAGTATATGAAATAGAGGTAGATACATGGCTATCTATATTTACACTAAAGGAGTGTAGAATCAAATCTGATTGATTTATATTGATCTTTATTAATTTTTATATTTATATTTTAATAAATTATAATTTCAATTATATTTAATTATATTTTAATTAAACTAATTGAAAATTGATTCTACAGTCCTAATTAATTTATAAATGTTGTATGTGGAGATATGTTGAAATATTAAAAATTTAAAACATTTCATACTTTAATTTTTCATACTTTAAAGTGAGTTCAAGTAGACAAATATTTTAAATTATATTAACTATAAAAAAAGAATTTTTAAAAAATATTAAAGATATTAGTTTGCTAGCATTATTTCCATATACGACATCTATCTGTTTGCATAAATAGGCTTTTAACATGCTTTATATGGATAATTTAATTTAATAATATACTAACAGTTTATTAAAGTTATACAATACATTAACATTAGGCGTCCTGTTTGTTGGGAAAATTTAATTTTATTACAACAAAAGTTCAAAAGTATACCTTGACTCATGTGTGCTAGCGTGAAATTTATTATATATCAAGATGAATAATTATTGTTGAAGCTTTAATAATTCATGAATATTCTTAGAAATTGTAGCAATTATTATAATATATTAGCAATTCAGTTATTTAGTATTTCATTTAATATTTAAAAAGAAATGTTTCAAATGTTTTATGTGATGTCTATTGTTTTTTATTTATTATAGTGTGCAAAATGTAGCGCATTATGGATTTGTCCAATACTCTAACAAAACTTATATTTTGAATAATTTATAATATAATTTATTTCTGAGAAACTTAGGGGGGTGAAAATAAGTGTGACAAGGGATGTAAGTGAGATATTGAACTTTGTTTATACATAAGCATCCATTGGTAGTCACATTGGATAACAACAAACTTCACATTAAGTATTCAACATAAAATTTAAAAGGTGTTAAATTATGAAGAAAATTACAATTATATTAATTGAAATTATTAGAAAAATTATAATTATATTAACATAAGGAAAATTGAATATGTATGTTTCCTCTTAATATAGGAACCAAAGCACAGCACAATATAAAAATTTATATATCTATATCCACCTAACTACATTCAGCATATAAAAATCATTTGTATTTTTGATTTTTTGTTGATATGATTAAAACTTAAATTCCTTTAATCTTTGAAAAATGATAAGTAACTAATTTTTATAAACCCAAATATATTTTTATCAAGAAATTAATAAGAAAAAATGTTATAAATGCTATGAAAGAAGTTAATAAGAAAATAAATTATTTGTAGTTTAAATTATAGATATTCAATGCAACAATAATGTTGTACTGTACAAACAGTATTGTTTTTTTCATTTATTTGACTTTTCTTATATATTTTATTAACTTTTCTTAATATGGTTTGAGTGTAGAGAGGTGCTATTAGTGTAGTGCATTCTTAAAAGATTGTAACTAAGTGCAATTTTTTTCCCTCCTCTTCTCAGCTCATGCATTCGACTATTACGGTAAGTTACGATTTCTCTTGGTTTGCAACAAGTTTTAGGTTCAGATTTAGGTTTATTGTTAGATATATTCCGTTTATTCTCCTAGGATTGACAGTATTTAAAGTGTATGTAAATGAGATACAAATCTAAAATATTAGTATGAAATAAGTATCTAAGAATTAAATTATCATATGCAAATATAAATTTTTTACATTAAAATAAATTTTAAAGGTAAGAGAATCATTACCTGGGTTAATTAACTAGAGAATGCACTCTCTCTCTCCTATTTCTCATTAGCTCAAACATTCATTTAGAAGTTTAATAACAAAGTGAGCTATATTTGAATAAAATTTATTAGTAATATAGACATAGAAAATGACTCTCCACCCAGAACCTCAAATATCTTTGCTATCTTACACCTTGCTTTGGACTTTTTGGCTCTTTTACTCGTTTGTTTTTTATTGGTGTATTTTATCTTTAGTTTCTGCATTTATTATTTTTTAAATATTTATCTGACATCCCGATTCTCAAACAGAAATATTTCAACATTTACATATTTATAAAAGCATGCTCTGTAGATAATAAAAAGAAATAAAAACATTGTATAAATTATCTTGCTATTCAAAGTATAATTTTAAATGCTTGTTTAAAATTGGACACCAATTATACATGAAACACAATGTACAGAATATATATAACAAGTTATTGTAAAAAATTTATTTGCAAAATGTAATTCCATGTTTTGAATACTTTAAACATTTAGCCTTTATATCCTTAAAATGTACAAATTTCTGAACTGTTCAAAATGTTCGAAATTCATGTTTTATTTTATATTCTCTAGTGTCAAATAAATATATTTAAAAAAATTTATAGACTACCTTTGGAATACTTAACATTCATTTACAATTGAAGTTGAAAAGCTTTATCACGAAAAAATGAAATTTTGCACTTTATGTATAAGTGTGTTATTTATATGATATCTTCTTTATTAATTGAAATGTTTTTCCAATAATATTTCTGAATACAAATTTACGCTAAAGAATATATTTAAGTAATTTATTTAATCATTCAGTGTTGTTTGAAACTGGGATTGTCTAAAATAGGGAATGTTTTATTATATTGAATATCCATTGGCAAATCTTGTCACAACTTAACGCACCTTCCAGAGTTCTCGGCGCGATTTCACGGTTATAGTTTTTGTAATTTTTGGGTTACTATAGTATACTAACATGGGAGTGGATTTTATGGTGTTGGAGCCGGTAAATATTGTATAAATAAGAATTTTTTTTTAAATAGAAGAAAAGAACACACAGCAACGAGTTCTGTGGCTTGAGCTTTTAGTGTCGCAAAAGTTCGATTTGCAAATATTGCTTTTTAACAGCACGGTTTCGTTTTTTGTGAAAATGATATAGCAAGAAAGTTCATTAAATTAGCAAAAATTAGAGATTGTTTGTTTACATAGAAATACATTTTGTGAGAATAATACATATTTCAAATATTATTAATATGTTTTCCTAATAAAATGTCTCTGTATATTATTTAAACTTTGATATTAAAATTTTGCTTTTAATAACAGTTATCTTAATTCATATTTTTTAAATAAATTGAAAATGTGGTAGGTTTTTTTAAATATAAATTAATAGTCGGAGATGTCAGTCTATTATGTTAATATATTTAAATTTTATCGATTTTTCTTCGTCTTCATTTTTTTTCTGTCATTCTAAAAATTTATGTTTCAAATTTTTTGATTTTATGTTTTTTAATGAATTTATTTGATTAAAAAATTACTCTTCCCTTAGATTTTAAATTAGCAGCATAGCTTTAAATGAATAAAAAGATTACAATATACGTATATATGATGATTTTTTACTGAAGTTTATTCGAAAGTCTAAAGGGATTGCAATTTCATAAGATATATAATTAAATTGATATAACGTACAATAATAATTAATTGTAGAAAAATTGTTTTTTAAATATTTATTAATTCATTATATATTACGATGGTAAATTTTTTTAGAAAATTTATGAATTGATTAATTTATTATACATATTAATATAAAAATACATTTTTAGAAAATTAAACTTAGAAATATATAATTGTAAAGTTATACGAACTTTACAAATGTATTATAAATTTTTTTATATATTTTATCGATCCCTCTAGAGCATAATTTTGTTAATAAATATAATGAACTTTATAGGATATAATACTATACTATTTGCATGTTATATCGATATATTTATAAATAATATTACCGTCTCCGATCCAATATTTCAATCTTTCTGGCTAATTGTTGATGTATCTTGCATGATGAAGGAAGTAACATTAACGAATAGATTTTATACAATGCTGTAATTGTTCATCACCGTAATGCTATCGCATTCAAAATAGATTGACAGCCTACTTACAGCGTACACGTATATCTTGCTACTTCTGAAAGTAATAATTTTCGCCGTGTCAATAGAAGAATATGTATATATATTTTTGTGGCATACATCAATAATTTTCTACGAGAGACATGAAATTAGATACAAACACAACTAACGTAATAAAACACGTGATTGATTGACATTTTCTTTTCCCTCCTTCAAGACGAGTACAATCTAAATCCTGGTTTAGAATGGGAGGACGAATTTACAGGTAGGTAATCCTCTCTAGAGACGATTCACTCTACCTAATTAATATCACCAGTACATGAATTATAGTCATTTTCACAAAATTGCATTTTGATTGGTAATATTTTCATTCAAGTTTTTTTTCTTCTATTCAGTTGTATTGTATTTGTATGCACCGGAAGAGGGGAACTTGTAGTATCAATTTACATTTGAATTTGCTTGATAAATCATCAGATTGTTAAGTAGCTTCTTTATGGTTTTGTTTTACGACTGTAAAAATTTTCGCTTAATTTGTCATGCATGCATAGATGTCATAATGTTACAGTTTTATTCAATTATTCATCATCTTTCATTACGCATGATCCAAGTACTACATAATAGATCACCATTATCATTTTTATTTCATTTCACTTAGACAATATTGTTTCTTTCAAATTATAAAGATTTAGATTAAAAATTTCTTTATATCTTTGTTTCGTTTTTACATAAATTACATACATATTCTTTAGCTGCTGCATGAGACTTGGGAAGTTGCGTTAATATACCTCCACTCCATTTTTGTATTTTTATTTTTTAATTGTGCATAATTTTCGATGTTGAAAGATTCATGAAAGAAAAGAAGACAGACCTATTCGTTAATATTGTGTAATACTGGTGTGATAAAATTGATATCGAAGGCATTTATGAATCGATGTTTTATACCTATATAATTACATTATAACGCAACATATACTTCACTTAAAAAATCATCGATCAAATCTTTTACTTCCTTCGACTCATTCTTTCATTTCATTTGCGTTTATGCTAAAACGAAGGGTGGAGAGATATCGTTTCGGATGATATTCATGTTACTCGTAAAATATGTTAGAGATTTAGTCTTTATTTATTATTTGTATCCACCAACAAGCAGTCCACCTTCTTATATATAACTAATGTCAGTGCATGCGATTCAACCTAATTGTCTTTGTATATGTATGATTGTTCACTTTTCAATCAGTTATTATTCTTATTTTATTTTTTTTCAATGCGAATATTTATAATTTTTATACGCTTTTACGAAAGCTTTTGAAAGAGAGTTGCATCCCTAAGTTTGATGCTTTCACTGTTTCTTTATATATAAAAATTTTGTTTTATTTTTTTGCAACGTTTCGTGATAGCTAATAGATTTTCGAAGTTGAACGTGATAAAGAGTTGCACAATTTGAACAAATATATGAATGCATCGCGATTTTTCTCTTTATTTTTATGCATTTCTATTTTGTGCGTATTCTAATGCAATAGATTCTTTTAATTATTACATAGAATATTTTGTAGGAGATACCGAAGTTTATTACGTAGTGTTACATGATGGTATAGCTATCTTCTTTTTTTCTTTTTTTCTTTTTTTTTTTTTCTTTTAACGTAGAGCATTCGAATTCTTAAAGTAGGGCATTTGCCAGAGATAGATAGATATATCGAAGTTAGGGTACTCGTGGCGGAATCAGCTTATTCACCACAGTTTTGACATTTGATGATGGCCAAGCCGAAGACGAAGAGAACAGCTTGCCGCATATGGATGGTTTCCAGAGCAAGCTTCCTCCAGGAATTCTTCCTCATGGTTTGCCACAAGTTAAGGAAGTGCAGCCAGCAGTTACACAAGTGGAACAAGAAAAAGAAAAGGAAAAGCCTAAAGAAGGTGATTTTTCTCTTATTTTCTCCTGTATTTGAATTCCATTATTCGAATATATTAATTTCCAGATTCTATTTTTCAAACATTTTGTCCATGTAGGATGTCTGTTAATAATCAAGATGTTTTTTCTTGTTATAAATTGTTATAATTGTTATTATATAATTATGGTTATTATTAATTATAAAAGTTTTTTATATTTTTAAAATAATTTACTTACTACAATACAGGATTTTATTAGAAAATAGTATTGCATGCTACATACTGCATATAACATAAATAACGAGAGTATGTCTTTGGATCCATTAATTAAGTATTTATAAAATCATAATGATTAAAAAATAATTATTCGAATATATATATTCTAGTTCGATTAGTTCGAATATAAAATATTCTCAAATCGATGACTAAACATTTATGAATATACTCTTAAATAATAATGAATTACAGTTTTTAATGTAATCAAACATATAATTAGTTAGAATACCAATTAGAATATTAATTTGTAGTACAAGAACTCAGCGAAGAAGAAAAACAAATGATTATACTGTCAGAAGATTTTCAACGATTCCTTGATCGTACTAGTAGAATTGTGGAAAGGGCATTAGGAGAATCTGTTAATATTTATAGCGATTATACTGGTACTATGGATGGTGAAGATGGAATGTAAGTAAAATGGAATGTTATTTAATGTTAGATGTTAACTTTCATTACTATATAAGATTCTTCCTAAAACAATAAAAATTGTCTAATAAAGTTCATTGATTTTGTAGGGATGAAAAGAGTCATCAACGTTTATGGTTAAATCGGTGGTTCTTCTGTGATCGGTGGTCTCGCAATCGTTGTGTGACCTCGATGGATTGGTCGCCTCAATTTCCAGAACTTCTTGCAGCCTCCTATAACAATAACGACGACACTCCAAATGATCCTGATGGGGTGTGTTTGGTTTGGAACACGAAGTTCAAGAAAACAACTCCAGAATTTATTTTCCATTGTCAGTCTCCAGTTATGTCGACAACGTTTGCGAGATTTCATCCTAATTTAATCTTGGGAGGTACTTATTCTGGACAAATCGTTCTCTGGGATAATAGAGTACAAAAGAGAACTCCTATTCAACGCACTCCACTATCAGCAAGCGCACATACTGTAAGTTGTTTGATAAAAGGCTTGATAAAATTTTACTATCATGGGTATTCAACCTAGAATTGCGTTTTAATGTAATAACATGACTGCATTGTTATTTGTAACTATTGTAAACAACAGCTTTTCTACGTTTCATATGATATAGAATAATAATAAACTGCTTTAATTGCATTTGCTTAATAAAGAAAATGAAAGATGAAATTTTATTCGTGGTGCTATAAACGTAATTCATACGGGTCAATTTTCAAAGGTCTATATATATATACATATTTTATTTTTAGCATCCTGTGTACTGTCTAAATGTTGTTGGGGCACAAAACGCACACAATTTGATAAGTATATCAACCGATGGCAAACTGTGCTCCTGGAGTTTAGATATGTTGTCACAACCACAAGAGACATTAGAACTTCACACTAAACAGTCGAAAGCTATTGCTGCCACTTGTTTAGCATTTCCTTATGGAGATGTTAATAATTTTGTCGTAGGCAGCGAGGAAGGAACTGTTTATTCCGGTAAATTAAATTAAACGCAATTTTTGATATTTTATTTCATTTTATTAACTATATATTATCATATTAAATAATTATTTAACAGCTTGTCGTCATGGTACAAAAGCTGGAGTATTAGATTCTTACGAAGGTCACCAAGGACCAGTTACTGGAATTAGCGCACATGCTGTACAAGGTGGCATAGATTTCTCACATCTATTCTTAACATCATCCATTGATTGGACAATTAAACTTTGGAGTTTTAAGGAGAGTAAACCTCTTTACTCCTTTGAGCACAATGGTGATTATGTTTATGACGTTGCGTGGTCACCGACCCATCCGGCTCTATTTGCTGCCGTCGACGATTCAGGACGATTAGATTTATGGAATCTCAATCAAGATACTGAAGTACCTACTGCCAGTATTGTGATTGATGGTAATCCAGCATTGAACAGAGTTTCATGGACACCGAGCGGTTTACATGTCACTGTTGGTGATGATACTGGAAAGATTTGGGTGTATGATGTTGCTGAGGTAAGATAAATACATATTTTGTTTATTTGTGATCTATGATATAATATTTGACAAATATATCCACGTTTCTTTGAATAGCATTTAGCACATCCAAGAATTGATGAATGGAATAAATTTTTGTATACTCAACAAGAGTTGAAACATAACAAAGCGGATGAAGAATTGCATAAACTTAATTTAAGAGAGCCCACTTCTTTGACATCTATACCTCCGCTGCTAGCGACATGTCCCTTGAGATAAAGGTATAATTTTCTTTAGAAATTATTGCTAAGGTCGGCTTGAATACTTTAAATTTAAAAATCAAATAAATTTATATAATATCTATAATCCTAAAAAAAAATCTTAAAAGAAATGAAAGAAAAGTGTATCACACTATCTGTAATTTGTAGGTGTATTTTTAATTAAAATATCTTTGTTCTGTATAAATTATTCAACAGCAAGATTAACGTATTAGTACTTTGTTCATACGTAACTGCTGTGCATTGGGTATGCTTATAATGGTTATAAATTTCACGTGTCCAATAGAAACAATATGTTTATTAAATAAATTTAAATCAGTAGTTTATTAAGGATGTGTGCAACATATCTATGCATGTAAATAATAAATGCTATAAAGCACGATTTAAGTCGAAAGCAAGAAATAAGAAAGTAATTAGAAATTTGACATAATCACGATCATATGCATCAGATAACTTGTAATATAATTTTTTTTTTAATTTTTTTTCAAATTTTTATATATTATTTTCAAAATTAAAATTTTCAAAAATATAGATTGTTTTCATACTAATATTCTTACCTAACATATGAAAAATAACACTAACATGATATTTAAATTTTATAAAAATTCTATTGAAATTGATCTAATTTAGTACAATAATTTTTAAATAATTTTATTAGTATTTATATTCTTATAGAAACTTTAGCATAATTTAAACTTCATAATTTTGTTTTGCAATGTATAGTTCATAGCATAGTGAAAAATAGAAAAATTTATTGAACAAAGATCGTCGATTGAAAATGTAAATATAACATAATATAATCTTTCCGTTGAACTACTGGGCTTTGTCTAAAATGTGATACTGTTGTATAGTGCTATGTTCAAATGCGTACTTCAGCTCAAGTTAAGCATATTTTAAAGCATAATTTTTTTTATAAAGAGAAATCATTTAGTTTACAATTTGTTACACGCTCGGTAATATTCTAAATGCAATCTAATATAACTTTACTAAATGTCTTTTGTAATACGCATTTCTAAATTTAAGTTAAATAATAATAATTGTCTAAGTAGGTAAGTTAATTATTTTTTTCAATGCTACGAATAAAATTTTATTTAAAAGATTCATGCGTTAAAATTAATTTTCTCATTTGCAGGTATAAAATGAATTCTTTCAGGTATTATATATTTGAGGAAAATATAAGTATTGCATATAAAATTATAATAAATTTTATTTTCAGTAACAATAATTCATTTACATATTGAACGAGTAGCTTAAAAATACAATAAAGCACAAAATTAGGTGCTTTTACAAACAATTAAAATTACAAAAATTTTGATGTCATTTAAGATGTATTCAAATATATTTTTTAGACTAATGATTAAACGACATATCAATTTTATATTGTATTATTTTACGAGTAGATAAATTTTATTAGTTGTCAGTTGTAAAATATAATGTTTTACCTATGTTATTACTTTCGTCATTCGAAAATCTAATCGTAGATATTGAAATTTTAACGAACTCCACAATTTCGTCTCTTACCATGATCCTAGAAACAATAATGTTCTAAATAATAAAAACCAAACGTCATATTCTAACTATTGTCTTCTAAGTACTGTCTCCACTGAGTTTTGCAATTAGCAATTAACATTCATAGTATTGCTCGATTTTGATTGTGCAAAAATTAATTTATTTACAACGCATACTAGATCGTAATTAAACAAAATTCATTGAATGCACTTCTTGAGCTTTTCTTCATTGACCGTTTCGTTACCCGTTTCAGTTCGTCCAAGCACGATCTGTTTTGTGCGTCGACGATATAGATAAAAAGATGAAATCACAGATGCAAACAAAGAAAAAGATAATAAAAAAAAAAATGCAGGTAATTATTGAATGTTTGCCAAACGCATGCTATTGTAATCGATATATATCAACGTATTCATCAGGTAATTAGAAACTTTGGTGTACGAGGCGAGTTATATATCGCTCTTCGCAATTCTTATTCACTTAAATGTAAATCAAGTACTATTCATTAAAAAATAATCATATTACAATTACAACTAGACTTCTATTCTTTCTAGTTTGTCGTCGTTGTCGTTGTTGAGCAAAACGTATTGTTCTCGTGTGATTAATAACTTGTGTTGTCCGTTCATTAATAACGACGAACCTCTTCTTATAGTTCGTTTACCTAATTCGATCGCTTCATGCGTGAATATCGGGTTGTTATAAGCCTTCATAAAAACGACGAATATGATTACTATACCGACTAGAATTAATCCATACGAGGTACAAGGCGCAGCAACATCGCTAAACGTTGTTGCTAAATAGATCCATCTGCGGATGGAAGGAGTCAATTCTTCGACACCCTCCTCAATCCACATGATAGGAAATACTATGTCCGGAAAATTCGATACGACACCGATGTGCGGTTGGTGTTCCACCTTTAAATTTAACTGAACACGTACTTTTCCTTCCAACGGTACACCAAGTTTCTGCGAATCAAACAAGTTATGCTATAAAATTCAATTCTGTTATTTTTCAGTGATTTATTAGTATATACAGGATGTTTATGCTATTAATTTCTACTCTAATTCTTTGCAAACAATAGTAGCAGTTATTAAAGTAAAAGATGAAAGTATGAATATAAAACAAAGTAAACGTTATAATAACCTTCGTTCTTTTCAATTACGTTTAATGTATAGTTATAAATTTGGTATTACTCATTTTTCTTTTTTTTTTACATAATATATTCATTTTACCTTTCTGACTCATAACTTACCGGTTGAATTTTAAAGTATGTTTCATGTATGTCAGGATTTGGCTTTAACCCATGAATCGCATCTAATAACTTCGGATCTGCTTTGTAGAAATGCGGGAAGGAAAGATAAACTGGTGCAGCTGAAATTTTAAGAATAATTTCAGTAATAATGGAAACGAATTTGTTATAATTATTGCTATAAAATATTACACGTATAGTAATAAACATATATGAATTATTTTGTTAATTACATATATAAATTATTTTAATAGTATAAATAGTTAGAAATATGATTAATTAGAAATCAGTATTTACTGTATTGGCAAGGACTAATATTTTGTAATCCATTTGAAGGACAAGTCGACATGTCATCTGAACAAAAGCACTCATTTTCCGGAGCATTTTCATTTGGACGTCCAAATACAGTATCAGGAGGTGTATACAGATCTGCTTTGATTCCTGATTTTTCAGTTGGACCACGATATTTCAAAGGTAAAGTGCGACAAAGATCTTTATCCCAGATATGTATGATATCTGCACCAGTTTTATCGCGAGGTGGAAAAAACGATCCTATAATTGATATAGGAGCATAATATATTAATAACGTATTAGAATATATAAGTTTGTATATTATATTAAAAAAATAAGATGTTACTTCAAACAATATTTTATTGTTATAATATCTGTAATTTAGAATTCAATTATTTGAAAATGCATTTAAATTTATTAAATGTCATAATAAATAATTCGCGAATGATAAACAATATAATCACGAATAATAGGAACAATAATTAATAATTAAATAAGCAACTAATAATTGATTACCTTCTGAAGCACGAATAGAGTTACAAGGCGAGTTTGGCCAATATGGCAAACGATCTAATCCATTTAAACGATTTATTAATCCAAATTCTTTCATATCCGTATGTCCTGTGAAAATAGTGGACACTTCCTCTAATGTACCGTTCCTCTACAAGTAGAATTATCATAGAAACAAAGAAATAATTCCAATTCTTTTACTTAATATATGCAAAATAATAGACATATAATTTAATTAATCATATGCACAAACAAATGATTAATTTTTTATGTTTATTTTTTTAATTATATATATTTATATGCATGTATATTTTTAATTACCCCAAGAAGAAGTCCCATTTGACTCATGGGACGTCTCGTTTTCGGAAAAAATCGATGTGCAATGCTAACTAGTGGATCATTGTATCCAAAAACAAGTTCTTGGGCAGTGACTGGAACAAACGGTGTCATATGCATTCCGCTCAAAAACATATGTAATCCCAGAGTAATAATTCGAGGTAGCGCCTTACTTTGCGTTGACAGTGTCTGAAAAACAACGTGAAATACACGAGCTACAAAATTCTTTCATAAAAGTTATCTTTACTTCGAAACGGAAAATATCAAATAATAACATTAAAGTAATGTTAATAATATTTGATATAAAGTTCTGTAATATTTCTGTAGTATTTTTAAAAATTATCAAGTATTAAATTATAGGATATCGACTTACAAGCAGAGGAATATTTGGTACTATTACTTTGAGATTCTTGTCTTTCGACATCTCTGGTTCAAAGTTTAATATCTTCTTGTGTTGATAACTTACAGTACCATTATTATGGAAAACAATGTTCACCTTTTCCATATCTTCTCTATAAATTTTATATTATATTATTATAAATTCTTTATAAAGTTCAGAAACTAAGGTATTTTAATTGGCAGAGTTAACAAAATAACAAGTAAATTAATTTACATTTTTAACATTTCACATACATCTATACATATTTATTTTAACTCTATACATTTTTAATTTGATTTGAATTGAATCAGAAGAATATTGCTTAAACTGTAATTCCTAGGAAGTATTAATCCAAATATTAACTTGAGTAATTCAAGAAATTGCAATATTCTTCCTTAAATTATGGGAGCTATGTACAAGATGTCTCAATATTTTTTTAGAGAGAATGTCGAGCTGTATCGATTAATGGATGAAAAAGACATCATTCCATTTAAAAAAGTGAAAGTTATCTTAAAATGTCTGAAACCCTTTCACTTATAAAAGAAAATTATTACTGATATGTTATAACTCATTTTGTACTGAATAATTTTGGGACAACCTGTACATTATATAATTATAATTATTTTAAATGATTTTTTAAAGTTCTCTTATTCATTTCATTGCAATAAAAAAAAAACAATGATCTCTTTTATTATGATTTACTTGCAATTTTAATTTTTTTTATAAAAATCGGCAAAGTATTGATATTTATTGTATCGATACGATACGTACCTATATACGAATGGACCAACCTCTTGTAATTTTGGCTTCTCATTATATTGCAAGAAGTTTTCTGCATTTGTTACATTGAATATGTATACTTTAGTTAGTCTAACTACTCCCGGTTTTTGCCAGTATTGAAACGAAAGAGAACCATTCCATAACCGTAGTTGCTAAACAAAAATAATATAATCAAATCTAAAACTAAAAAGAAATGAATACAATAAGCATATGTTAGTTTTAACTAATTAATAAGCAATTAAGAATCAATATTTTCGATACTGCAACATTTCATTTGTAACATTTTTTTCATCAATGTACACTATCAAATTTTGTTTTTTAATATTTATTTATACTTTCATTGAAACGTCGTAATTTATTACATTTCATTTTCTATATAATTCTTTTACGTTTGACGCTGTTATTAATTATAAAAACAACTTGAAATTAAGTTTTACTAAACGATGTTTATAACGTCTCGAGATCTTAATTATTGAATATTGCTGTTACATAAAGGAAACGGTTATTAATAATAACTGTGACCAGTGATCTAGTGACATGATAAATATTTATGACTATAATTCATATGATTTGTCAATCAGTATTTGTTTATTAATCCAGTAAAATTGCGAGTCTAATGAGATATGAATTAATTGAGTGATTAGACTTGATAAATAGGTTCAATAAATGGAACAGTATCAAATATCTATGTAACACTTCTGCATAACAGTTATTATAACTGATGCAGAAACTAGATGTTAAAACTAGATAATAAATAAAAAAGTAATAATAAGCGATATGAAAAACTTGAATTAATATTTGTTTTAATTGTACATACCTTTAATATGATATAATCTACCCAAGGTATACTGCTTAATATAATGCCAATTACAAGCGTTAAAACTCCTATGAATATTGCTGACAATCTACCTGTAAAACATGAAAAAAAAAATATTTGCATGTTTAATATATCTTAGTAAAGATTTTTTTTGCATATAAAAATTGTAGTATACGTATAGTATTACGTATGATAACATAATATTATTTATAACAGGATATTACATTATTACTAGATATTACATTCAGAAAGTAGAACATCCGGATATTAAGATACTTGTATAATAAGGGTCTAGATACGGAAGAATCTATTTTACATAATTACGAAATAAAATTGTTTTATTTCACTCTTCTATACACGCACCATACAAAATCTATATTTTCTATATTATTATAATTTCTTTGTTTAATTATATCACATAGTATAGAGCTAATTAAATTTACGTTACTTGTCTGTTATAGTTTGTATGCTTCTTTTACTTTCTTACATTACTACTTTTTTACTATTACATTTTTGGGAATCCCACATCTCTCGAGAAATCTCTCTTGTGAAATCACTAAAAAGCACAAAAAATAATTTGCTTCATACCTCTTGTATATTTAACAAAAGTCTACTAACTGGTCAGCGCGCCGTGTTATTAGCATTATTGCAATAACCTTGAAGATTAAACTTTTCTCAGTAACCTATACCTTTCCAGAACTTCTCTTTAGTTAGGTTTTCCCCAACATATAATATCCTTCACCTTTCTCGACCTCTCTCTTTCTCTCTCTCTCTCTCTCTCTCTCTCTCTCTCTCTCTCTCTCTCTATCTTCAATTTTGTCCTGAGGTAAATCAGATATTACATGTGTCGTTAACTCTATTGCATCTTTGAATGACCGAGTGACCGAATCATATCTTCCTATCATTAAAAAATTTCCTAAATGTAAATAAAAGATTCCTAAATGTGGAAAGAAAATTGTTAAATACTTTAATTCTACCTCGAGGTAAATTAGTTAGATAGTTAGATTGGATAGACAAGTTGGATAAGTATATATTATTATAGGTATGTAGATACATTGCAGGTATATATTAGTTAACTCTGTCTCTCAGGTTATTGCAGATTGAATTGTATTTTTTACGTCGTTAAAAAATTTCCTAAATGTACGTAAAAAATTCCCAAATGCGAGATGTTATTGATTCTTTCAATGTTTCATCAATAATTTTCTTTAAACATTAAAATATTTTCTTCGTCAATGTTAAAGTGAGAGTTGAGAATGTGAAATTCATGAATCTTAGTAAAGTTAGAATTATTTACCTTTCACTATCGATTGCACATTTTGTGTATTCATAATTTTTATTTAATAATTAATAATAATTAATAAGTGATATCGAATGAAGAATCGATACATAGAATTTACGAATAAAGAAGGTATCTTGAAAGCAACTAGCAATGTAAACAAGGGAAACTTCATTTCGCAAAAGATTGAACTGAATCATATATGGTTCAAGGTTCAAGAAAACCGGTTAGAAAATTTCTTGAAGATGAACGAATTGAGCATGTATTCCAGTTTCTAGCAAATATCTATTTCATCTATTTATAAATTAATTGAATAAATTGCTTAGAAAATTGGATTGTTTATTTTATATTGATCATCAAGCATTTGTAAACATATTTATATTTTCAATATTTTGCAATTCTTTAAATATAAAGAATGCCTCGTTTCTCGATTTTAATATAATTCATTGTGTATATTATAATATATATTTAACATATAACGATAAAATATTATATATTATTTAATATGTACTTTTCTTTGATATTTAACTAAACTTATTTTTATTTTTTTACATAAATATGTACAGTTGGCAGTTACATAAAAATTTGTTATATAATAATGATGTGTAATTCACGTTTTTAATGAGTAATTATCGTAAAAAATTACGTAAATTCAATTACATTCACACGTTTAATGAATGTATGTTTTCTCTACGGTAGCTTCCTTCGTATGTGATAGAAAAATTATATAAATGGTTTTTTATTTGATTATTAGAGTGGCTCAAAGGGAAAGCTGAAATATCTTTGACTTCCATTAGGGTGAGAGGTTATTAATAACAAGGATATGACCGTGTATCTTCCTATAATGCTCGAAAACCGACTTGTTTATATCGTTAGGAAAGTAGGATAGTACTTGAAAGTGTATGATCAATTTCCGTTGATGTAATTTTATTGGCCTGGTGTGCTCGTTTGTAATATGAAGATATTTGTAACCATGTTCATTTTTAATTGATAAATGATTTAATCTATCGCTGCTTATGGAATATGAGTGGTGATTGAAATTGTGGAAAGTTCAACTTGAAAAGAGCATATTAACGCATTAATGTGTCAAGATAGTAGATCCGATATTGTGACTATCGATGAAATTTCCAGATATTGCACTATGAATAAGAGTTCTCCGTAGTCAAACGTACGTCATCACGTATAACATATCAAAAGCTAATCGTTTTGTTCAAATCTTTATAGATAAATATGTTATACGTATATTTGTTTCGTTAAAAATAATGTGAAATCCAGGTCGAAAGTCTTGAAAGCGAAGTCGAGAAAGTATTGACTTTTTATTCGATCCAATGATTATTTAGAGCCTAAGTAATTATTATCCGATGTAGGACAAATTTCCTATGTTTACTGGATTGTGACATTATAAATCTTATTCACATTTTTAAAATATCGTCGTGATTAGTGATCAAAAGAGATTTATCAACAATTCTTAATTTTTAAATTAAATTATATTCACGCGAATAGTATTTCTGTACTTACCGAAAATACGGAAAAGCAGTATTTTTATAGTATTTTAAAAACATCTAAATGCCAGCTAACAAGAATATGCAATAAAATATATAAGGTTACGTTTAAAAATTCGAGAATGATTTTGACTTTTCTAATGTTGACTCGAGGTCAAATAGTCCATCAATATGCGGCCCCTAATACTATACAACTTTCATCTGATATATTTTTTCGAAATTTCCCAATAAGTACAGAAATGATACATCGTATATTTAAAATGGATATACTGTATATATATATATATATATTAAATCTATATATATATATATATATTAAATCCTCATTACTCATTAAAAAATATATGTATTATAATAGTATGTAAAACGCGTTTGTATAAAGTTTCTACAATTACTAAATCCATGTATTATATAACAAAATAATTTGGATCCGTTGATGCTGAGTAACTCGTCCTTCGAGTCGCCTTCGAAAAATTTCACTCTCACTTCAAGGACATAGTAATATAATTCCACGAAAACGCTTCATCATCGGACATACAATACATATTTGGGATTTTTTTTGAAATCTCTTTATCTCTTTCTTTCTTAGTATCCAATAACTAATCTTATTTTATAATATCTCATTACTAATGTATCGACAGAGGTTCTATATATACCGAGAACGAATTAAAATCTATGACAAGGACATTTTCTTAAATCGGTTATGTCGGAGAAATATCAATCTTTTGAATATTTAACGATTTCCTGAAATTCCGGTTTATTTAATCTTGCATTGGATAAATAAATTTCTTGCTGTTATGAAGGACGAAATGAAGCTGTGTTATTTCTATCATCGGTATAAATTATATAATATTATATAACGAGTACATATAGAAGAAACAAGTGCAAGACTTTTTTTTTCTTTAGTTAATGGTTTTTGTTTAATATGAAATCAGGCTGAATTTTCATAAAGATATTATTGATGATGTATAAGTTAAAATTGTTTTTTTAAATTGATAAATACTTTCCTCTGTATTTCTAACAATTATTAGTATTATTATTATTATTATGCAACAAATATTTGCAAATATTTAATTGTTATTATTATATTTAATTAATTATTAATTTTTATTTATTACATTGTAAAGTAAATCACACTTTTATTTTCATTACTGGTCTAATTGCTAATCTTGAAGTTGAAAAGTAAACGAAAATAACAATATAAACATTTCAAGTTTCCAAGTACAGGCAAAAGAATTCTAAAATTTTCACTTATATTGTATACTTGTAAATTATGAAGCATGAATAAGATCTTTGACAAGTTCAACGATCACCATAACGTAGACTATTAATGGAGACTTCAATGCCAGACAGATGTGTCAATATGTATTATGCTTTATGGTACAGGAATTTCCAACATTCTTATCTTGTTACTCAGCATTTCAAATTGTGACGAACTTACACACCATTCAGAAAAGTGCATGCAATTTACCATAATCGCGAATTTATGGGTCAAATCATTGTATTCTTCGTTTGGATGGCTTGACGTGAAACACGTTTCCTAGATTATAATGTATGATCTAAAATCTTGAATGAAATAACAATTCTTAAAAATTTCAATAATCTTCTAACAACTTTTCAAATTATCCTTATTTTCTCAACAAGTTCCAGTATTTATAAACAGAGTTGTATGTGTATATATACCACGAGTAGTCAATCAAGTCGCTTAGAATCTTGTTCAACTCTTTGATGACGTAAAAGGTTACACTTCTAAGGACTCGTTCAATCCCCCGACTTACAATTTAATTCCAAGGTTTCGGACTATTTAAGATTATTTAATTTTATTTATTTCGGTTTTTCCAAAGATGTTTTTACGTCATCAATGGATGAGAAAGCAAAAAATTTAGACGTTCCTGGAATCATGGCAGAATTAGTCACTAAAAAATTTTTCTTGTGATTAGTTCTGCCATGATTTAAAAATATGAAATCACTCCTTTAAAACAGCCCTTCAAAGATTGTTGTACGATCTTTTTTCACCATTTTTCTAGAACTTTGAATATCAGAATTAAACGAAAAAATGTTGGAATTTCTTTTCGTTTCATCCCAATGTTTAGAAGTTAATAAAATAAAAAGCGAAAAAATATTGTATAACAAGTTTTAAGAAGTCGTTGTAAAAAGAAAAATTCAATCTTCAAGACCGTGATAAACCTAGACACATTTGAATTGTTACCTACTTTTCAAGAATAAAAGTATCCTTATCTTCCCATTCATTGCATGTGTAAAAACGTATTTGAAGAAAAGGGATTCAGACTCATAATTGTCAAATTAAAGACTT